GTCGGATATCATTTTTGATGGACGACAACTTCAAGTCGATTGTGAACGCGGTCAAGTGGGGCCGCAACGTGTACGACTCGGTCTCCAAGTTTCTCCAGTTTCAGCTGACCGTCACGCTGACCGCGATTACGCTCTGTGTGCTCGGCGCCATCTTTCTCGAAGAGACGCCGCTAAGCGCCGTCCAGCTGCTCTGGGTCAACCTCATCATGAACACGTTTGCATCCCTTGCGCTCGCGACCGACACACCGTCGAACGCTGTCCTCGACCGCAAGCCATACCCGCGCACCAAGCCGCTCATCTCCAAGAAGATGACCAAGCACATCCTCGGGCACCTCGTGGTGCAGCTGGCGATTTTGCTGACGTTGACGCTCGAGGGCGAAAAACTGCTGCAGATCCCGTCTGGTCGCAAGTATGAAACCGAGGACCCGAGCCAGCCCTCGGTGCACTACACGGTCGTCTTCAACACGTTTGTGTTTCTCCAGCTCTTCAACGAAATCAACGCGCGCGTGATCCACGACGAGAAGCGCGTCGTGCTCCGGGGCCTCTTGACCAACCGCTTGTATGCGTCCATCTCGGTCCTTCAAGTCGTGCTGCAAGTCATTTTTGTCCAGTTTGGCGGCAACGCGTTCGACTGCGCGCCGCTGAGCGCGACGCAGTGGGCGGTCTGCATTGGTCTCGGCGCGCTGAGCTTGCCCGTTGGCTGGAGCTTGCGCCGGATCCACTCGCACCATTTGCCCCAGTGGTTTGCACTCTTCCGCCGCGCCCACCCGCACTCGTACCTTCGGTTCCGCTAGGCTCCATGCCACCCTCCCTTTCTGTTTTCATGCTTGTTTCGACAATAGTGTGTTAAATAAAAAATTTGCCACAAAATAGTTTATTTTTTGCTGTCGAGGTTCTATGTGACAATCAGTGGATATAGTGTTGCGGAAATGGGTGCAACGCGAGCGCGTATGGACGGTTTGTTAGCCACCTACATGTACACAATACCGGAAACGTACAACAACGAGGTCGTATTATGGCCTTGGGAACAAGATAACACCGAGGACCGATATCAACTGTTTCTCGACCTTTGATAGCACGAGCGCAGTGGTGTGGGGCCAGTCGATGAGATGGCTGCGAGATGCACGAGGTGCGTTCTGATTGGCTCGTAAAACCGAAACCGTCGGTCCACCAGAACAGACGGTGGAGCTTTTGTGCAGAATAGACATTGTGTACAACCAGGGCGTAAGCGTGACATGTCGGGCATCCCATGTCAGATACATAGTGTATCTTCTGGAACAACTGCATCGTTGATGACATGACAGCCGATGATCACGAGCGAGCTCGGTGGCTTGCAAGAAATGACACCACCTTGACGACAATGCCATCCCAGTACGCATCAAACAACGTTACCGGGTATCGGAAAGGAGCCGGAAAAGGCAATCCCAACTCTGTCTCTCTTCAACGTGTCCCTACATTTCGCGTCCTCGGTGGTGACAATTGACGAGCACTTGCAGCACAGCAGGTCGACCGCCAAGATTCCCGCGCTATGCCACCGACAGATTTGGCCAGTACTTGCGCACCCACCGAATCCAGTCTCGTGCAACTTGACTTCAACTCGCACCGGGATGCGCTGGCTTGTTGCGGTATCGCACACAAGCGTATACCTAGATTCGGTCTTTCCGTATCACTCGATGGTTTGTACGGGGCTCGTATCCAACGAATCTCTTGAATACAAGGTGATCTTGTCGCCCCTCGTCCTCAGACCCCGTCGCCACGCACGTGCGATGCTCGATCCAAACGTGTCTCCTCCGTTATTCGCCAGTTTTCATTTGCACCTTCCAAGCACACATGACGACGACGACGACACCAAAGGACAGCGAACCCTACGCGTCGTTGACCGAGGCACCACCCGTGGCGCGGTCGTCGCGGCTTCTTTTCGGCGTTTTCCACTCGTGTGCCGCGCTCGCCGCACTCTACTGCTTCCTCTTTGCCATCAAGCTCCTCGGCGACTCGCTCTCGCTGCTCTTTGGCTGCAACACAAAGGCGGCCTTTGGTTTTGCCGACAACGCGATCGTCGGGCTCATGGTTGGCATGGTGTTTACGGCCGTTTTGCAGTCGTCCAGTACCGTGACGTCGATCACAGTCGCGCTCGTCGGTGCCGGTGGCCTCAGCGTCCGGCAGTCGGTGCCCATCACCATGGGCGCCAACATTGGCACGTGCCTCACGTCCACGATCGTCGCCTTTGCCCAAGTCGGCGACCGAGCGCAGTTTGAATTGGCGTTGGCCGCCGGCACGATCCACGATTTCTACAACATTTGCACGGTCCTCGTCCTCTTTCCCGTCGAAATGCTTCTGCATCCGCTCGAGCACCTTGCCATTGCCATGACGGGCGGCGATGCTGGCACTTTCTTCTCGTCGCCCATCGATGCGGTCATCCACCCACTCTACAAGCAGCTGCTAGCGGTTGATAAAAAGACGATCGAAGGCGTCACGGCTGGGACGATCGCGTGCAACGACGCGTCGTTTCTCAAAGGCGGTGTGTTCTATGCTGCGTATATCGACGGGGCGCTCTCGAGTGCTGCGATTGGTGGCATTTGCCTCGGGATCGGTCTCGTGCTGCTGATTGGGTCGCTGCTCGTGCTCGTCAAGACGCTGCAAGCGCTCCTGCGCGGGTCGGCCCAAGCCATCATCCAGCGCGTCCTCAACTGGAACGGCTACCTCAACATTGGCATCGGTGCGCTCATCACCTTTTGCGTCCAGTCGTCGTCGATCGTGACGTCGACCTTGACGCCGATGGCCGGCCTCGGTGTCATTTCGCTCGAACAAATGTACCCGCTCGTGATTGGCGCCAACCTCGGCACGACGGTCACAGCGTTACTGGCGTCGCTCGTGACAGGGTCACCGGACGCGGTCGCCGTCGCGCTGACCCATTTTTGGTTCAACGTCTTTGGCATGCTGCTCTTTTACCCGCTTCCGATCATGCGGACGCCCATCTTTGCGGCGGCGCGGGCGTTAGGGTACGCGAGTGCGCGGTTTCCGCTGGTCGCGGCGTACTTTCTCGGTGGCCTCTTTGTACTGGTGCCTGCGATCGCGCTGGGTCTGACGTTCTTGTACAATGGATCGCTCGGTATGGTGGTCGCGGCGATCGGTCTCTCGGTGTTGTTGGTCGTCTCGGGGGCGTCGGGTGTCTACTGGTATGTGCGCAAGGACGGCCGTGCGCGCTGGCTGGCGTTTCTGGACGAGAAAAGCAAGCTCCAAGACGAGAAACTCGCGCGCCAAACGAGTGACGATGTCTAGTGCGATCGATCGGTGTCTCTATGAATACATATATACGAGTCGTTGGGATGGTGCACACAGATCTCTGGACGATTGTGTCGATGCCGGCGACGGGTTACAGTATCCCAAGAGAAGTCGCATCCGACGAGGTGCTCGTGTCGTTTTAGGACTAGCAGCTAGACCCCAACTCGGATTCAGACATCACTGACGTTGCCGATCGTCGACAATACTCGACCTTGAACGTTCTCGTGTGCGCATGTCCTCGACCGTCGAACAGAGAGCTGCTTTTCAAAAAGATCGCTGATGGTCATGATGTCGGTAGCGCTGTAGGCGAGTTGCTCGCTATTCACGGAGGTTTTTGGCAGTCGCGCCACCCGTAGTATGCGGGGTTCAGGAATTCACCTTTGAGTGTGCGGTTGACGTGCTTTGTATCTATCAAGCGTACACGGTCGTGAAATGCACTGGTGCGATTGCCTCTTACCACAGCCTCGATGTGTTGGACAGTGGCGCGCTTAATGGTCGGCTGGATCTTGGCGGCATACTCAAAGAGCTCGAGCTCGAGCTTGTAGGTTGTCGCCGCGGCTGCACACTGACGCGGGACGGTCTTCCACGTGAATGTACACTAGGTAATAAAGTTGGTGCTGCCCAAATCAACGAAGTACTAGTACTCGGATTGCGTCTTGGAGACACGCGACATGACGTAGATTCAAAGAGTCCGGCGTGTCCATGCCCATGTTTTCCTTGACGCCAATCGCAGACGCATTGTACGCGGGCTGAATGCGCTAAACTTCGATATGATCTCGGAGAAGCGAAAAGAGCGCTGGGACGTTGACCTCCGTAGTTGCTTGGCCTGCGCTTGTCCTCGACTTGGTGCGGCTGCCAAGCTCGACGACCACGATAGCCGTCATCGCGGCTGGCAACGGTAGGACGGGTCGCGGGCGTGACCGGACCATCGCCTCCTGGATGTCAATTTGTGTGACAACGCCGTTTGACTGCTAATTTATGCCCCCTGTTTGTTCTTATTGCGAAAGAAAACTGATTTTGAGCGCGGTCTCGTCCATCTCATAGAGGCTCGATCGACCCGACTCAAAAAGGTGTTGCAAAAAGTGGTCAGAGCCTAGGAGGACCACACCACATCCCTACGTACTAGTAGCCTCGTCGCCGACGAATTCGAGTCTACTTGACGCCGTCATGGATCAGATACCTGCTCGTCGGAGCAGTGAAACAACATCCATTTTTAGCCTGACGGATTGATGACTACAGGCACCATCCCGAAGACAAGAACGTGATTGGCGATCGGTCGTCGTCGTCGTGGCCATGATTGGTTCGGTTCAACGCCGTTTCTGAACAGCATGCTCCAGCGAAGTCCAGTAGCGACCAGTCTGTGCATTGCATGGAGCTCGCAATCGCCTGCCATTTTTGCTTTCACCGCGCGAGATGGTTGTGGTGCCGGACCGTCTCAACCGAGCGCTCTACGACGGCAACCTATCGCTGTGGTGGCTTCTCAGCGCCGTGCTCTCGCTTTGGTTCACGGCCTACTGCGGTCTCGGCATCCTCTTTGGCGCACTCGCACCGCCGACGCCCGCCCCCGTCGGCCCGGCGTTCGCACTGCATCTGGTGACATGCAGTTTGATTTCGTGGATTTGCATTTGGAACCTCTTCCACACGCCGTCCCACGGTACCGAAGATGCTTCTCGTACGACACAACCTCCAGCATGGTTAGGTCCGCGCTATCGCAGTGTGCACAAGGTCCTTGGACGGGCAGCCATGCTCTCGGGCGGGATTTCAACATTGGCGGGGTTTTACACGGCATGGGTCGAGCGCTACAACCCCAACAACATGGGCTTTAGCATTGGAATTTCCATTGGCGGCGCGTACGACACATTGATTTCTTTTGATACATGTTGTCTGTGAGCTGATGACGCGCGTGCGTAGACTGCAGCTGGGCGCGCAGGCACTGGGCTGGTACTTTGTCCGGCGCAACGACATTCCCAAGCACCAACTCTTCATGTCGGTCGTCTTCTTCTACGGCTGCTGCATTCCCCTCTGGATGCGCTTTCCGCATTTCGTGCTAAATGTGGCGGTTCCCGACTGGTGGAACGGCGCGGGGGTCGTCGTGGCCGCCATCATTGGACAGCTCGCGCTGGCCGCCCACCGTCGCAAGCGCTTTCTGTGACCATAACACACTCCATAGCACGCGCTTCTTGCAGAAGTTCGGACGATTGTGCCGAATTTAATATGTCTATTATCGGCAAACGGTCGGGACGAGGGAACTGCGCTCTTGGAGTAGGCGCTCGGCCCAGTACACGTGTAGTAACACGCTATGCCAAGAAACAACGTCTATGCACCTTGATTCAGCCTTACACGATCACAGCAGTGCCGTCATTCGATGTAAACCGAGCACCGTCGAGCATCCTGGCCTACTGGACTGCCACGTCAGAAAAAGAAAAAAGTGGTCAAGTGCACCCCGTCCAATCTGACGACGGCGTCATCGCACATGTCTGCCGTGCGACCAACGCGCAGTGTTGTCTAGTGCCACCAAAGAAAGGGAGACAAAACCAACCGCAGTCGTTGAGAAAGAGAGATTAATCCCGCGAGCTACGTGGCTAGTGCTGCTTTGGCGGGACGACACGCAGCACACGCGCACGCGAGAGGTTCACGACGGCCCTGGCGCGGATGACGCGACGAATGTTGCGCAGGACGGTACCCGGGGCAAACCAGAGATGCTGCAAATCGCGCCACTTGCCACTGCCGTTGACGTCGGGGTCGAAAAACAGAGTTTTACCCGGAATCGGCGAGTTGATGCACGTCATATGCTGCATCGCCGTCGTTCCGGGCGCCGTCGTGCCGTCGTTTGCCTCGTAGTTCTGCTCGACCGTCGTCACGTGAAAAACTCCCGTCAAGCAGACGCGTCGGACGTCGTCGGTGATGTTCTTGGAGCGCGGACCGATCGCGATCGTCTTGAGGTACGTCGCACTGTCAATGGCATAGCCCTTCCTCTCGAGAAACTCTCGGAGCTTTGTCAAGAGACCCGCCGGCACCGGAGCTCCTTGCGGCACGTTCTTCGACGCTAGAAACGCATCCACCTCGTGGTCCATCCAGCGCTTCTCGAGAGCGAGACACGACGCGGCGGCCTCGGACACCATGACGAAGCAGTCGTTGCGCTCCGTTGCATGTGCAGCACCCATCGGTTTTGGCAGCTTCTTCGCCTTGCCACCGTCTTGCTGTGGCAGCACGTTGAGAAGCGCACCGACGGCAGCACCGTCGTGTAAGAGCTCACGTTGGCAGCGACGTTGTGGCTCGTGCTCGTCGTCGCAGAGCAGTGCTCGTGGCTCGGGGGCGCGACGTGCTGGTCGATCTCGATGGTAGTGGCGGCGGCTGAGCGTGACGGGTTGTTCCTTAATGGCGGCGTACGCTGTCGCCTTCTTCGTAAAGCGGCGGTCGTGCTTCGTCGTCGCTGTCGCAGCCCGCATGACGTCGATTGTTGCTTCTTGTGGCCGAAATCCCGTTTTTCGAAGCCGTGTTCGAAAAACAAGATCTTCAAAACTTATATTCTGAAACGACTCGTGACTTGACCATTGTATCAAACCAACCTCCATCAATGCATAGATACGTTTCTATGAATGTTCCCACTTTGCCGTCCGCGCCAACACCGGCGCTCGCTCTTGCTGCAACGACGACGGCAGCCTTGCGGCGACACAGACAAGCCTCCTAGGGTGCTCCATACCCATTATAGGTGCGTCTCTCGCCGGTGCCGTCGCGTCGTGGTGACGATGCGAGTTGCTTCCGCCGCCCTTGGCGTCCACCTGGCCGCCCGCTCTTGCTGCAACGACGACGGCAGCCTTGCGGCGACACAGACAAGCCTCCTAGGGTGCTCCATACCCATTATAGGTGCGTCTCTCGCCGGTGCCGTCGCGTCGTGGTGACGATGCGGGTTGCTTCCGCCGCCCTGCGCGTCCGCCTCACTCCACACTCTATTGATGTGCACTTGTTGATGGCTTTGACATCTTCGAGAATTTGGACTGTGCCAACACTTAATGAATCGGCGCAGGACTTGTATCTTTGCAGAGGCCGACGACTCACTGATATAGGCTGGCGCTCTCGCACAAGACGGGTGTGGTGCGGCTTGATCGCGGCTAGCATTATTGATCACGCTGCGTCCGTGCTATCGCTGGTGAAGCAACCGTCGGTGCGTCGCCGACACCCTGCATGTCGACGAAGTTGCAGAGGCTTTCGGATGTGCGGGCAAGACATCGTCGAGGGGCCGATTGCCGATGATCGCAGGCGCGGCAAGCGGAAGGACTGTTGGCAGCATCTGCGTCACTAGGTGGTACGTCGTCGCCACGGTGACCGAGTCGTCTTGCTCACGCAGGAGCTTGGAATGGACTTCACCACCTATATGTGTGATTGCATAATGATCTCCTCGTGCTTGTCACGGAAATGGGCCAAAGAGGCTATGGAAGCGCATGCTTCTAGAGTGCGCACTTGATTAGGCGTATGCACAACCTGTCATATCTCTATGTAGCCCTGTCCGTGACTGCTTTCGCTTCCCCACATCGCGCGCTTCGCTCAAAATGACGTGGCAAGCTCTGAGGCAAGCCATTGATGTGGCGCCACTTCCAAGCTGGGCCGCTCCCACGTCTTTTAAAGCCACAACGTTTGACACGATACCATGGGGCAGCCGCTTCCGACATCGCCCGCAAGTTGGACAACACTTGGCTTTCCAAGAAGCCCAAGGTGGCGGCCGATGGCCCCGCAAACCTCCTGCCAGTGATCAGACGCGGGCGAGAGCTGTCGGGAGGTCGCAAAGGGTGCTTGGAATCCAGGCACGCTCGGGCAAGGTCGAGCTGTTCGAAAGCGCTTCAATGACGTCGATGAGATTCTTGACGAACGGCCCAAAGAGCACGCACCGCCGCCGACGCGACGACGACCAGCAAGTTGTTTTCGAAGTCGAGCTCGCGCACAAGCAGCGTCTTGCACAGCTCCGCGAAGAAAAAGTTGTCGACCGACGCCATCCACACGGACCATCCTCGTCTTGTGTGTTGAGAGTGCCTGGACGGTCGTCAAGAGGCACCCTCCACATCCATCACCTTGGTGGCAGGTCGCAGTGCCACGGACGAGACACAGGCAGTAGCGCCCACGACGAAGCGCGTGGTCCTTTGCGACACCAAGACCTTGGAGTTCTTGGCGTTCTCGCACGCAGAAAGCTGTGGCGTCACAAGCGCGGCGCTTGTAGCAGCAGTAGCTATCGTCATCGTCATCGCCGTCCCTATGCAAAGACACGCCGGGCCGATTCTCGAGCAGCATACTTTATATGGCCAAGAGCAGTGACGAGCACGGCTTTTTTTCTCGTCGAGTCCTGGTCTCGCGAAACCTGGTCGTTCTTGTCGTCGTGAATCTCGACTGGCGGCTCTCGCACTGGCCGCCACTCACGTCGTGTCTCTGTAAGGACATCCGTGGCGACGTCGACAGGCGCTGACGTGGCGCACCAATGTGATGTGCTTTTTTTCATTCCAGTAGTGCCACATGGCATTACGCACCTCGTTTTGATTGGCCACGTGGTCCGGTTTCCAGGGAAAGCACCTCCAGTCCTGTCCTGTCCAGCGACTTTGCCCTCTTGAAAAGGCAAAGTCGGTGGTCTCTTGTCATGGCAGTAATAGCTCGATCAAAGGACCGCGCTGTCGTCACTGGCTTTCAAATTGCAATTTGCACATCGTTAATTTAGCACGATCGACGACTACTACCGTGAGCTCGGTAACGAAGGAAAGAAAGGATGTCGCGATTGTACCGTGTATAGGCCTGTCGATCGTGGGGTAGAAATGACACTTGGTGTCCAGCACGTCGCAGGCGTCACCACAAAGGAAGCATGCTGATTGGCTCCAATTCGAGAAACCCCCTGGCTAATCGCACCCAAGTGTGCGTCACAGAAAAAGGGGCGGGCTGACTCGGTCGACTGACTCCCGTCCTCTCCCGTCCCTTTTCGCCCGCGACCCCGCCCTATCGCTGCTCTGTCGAGAGCCCGGACCAGTGGATACATTGTAGAGGCGATGCCATAGCGTCCTGGAGAGCATCGCGGGCGGCGCCAATGTTGCCGGCAGCACGACGCGCCCGCCGGTTCGCGCCGCGTTGGACAGTGCCACGTCATCCCCACCGCGTGTCAATTGGTCAGCGCCAAAATCCATTGAAATAATGAAAGAGTGGGCCCATATTACGCCCATTGAACCGTTGATCCGCATCCGAGGCGTTCTCGGCACGACCGCGCCGTCCAAGGCTATTTACATGCATCTACTACCTCTCACGACGGGTCTTTTGCAGGACTATCGTCGGCATCGACCGCTTCCATCGCCGTCTCGACGTGTGCATTGGGACGAGTAAAATGAGCCGTCAAAATGGCGTGTTTCTAGACATCCAGTTAAGTGCGTTCGTCGAACGTTCCGCCACGTCACGGGCGGTGTCGAATCCGCACTTTATCGGGATGGTAAGTAACCGCAGCCACTTCGTGGGGACGGTGGCATTTGCACATTTCGAGCCGCCAGCCACGATGAGCTCGACGACGGAGGCCAACATTGGCTTGATGAACTCGCTCCTGGGCTACGACGTGGTCGTCGTCTGCTGCTCGACGCCCTTCCAGGCCGCGTACTGGCAGAAGCGCCTCACGGCCACGCGTGGCACCATCTCGCCGCTCGACATGAAGGTCATTACTGTCCACGAAGACTGGGTCGGCGGCGCCGGCAACGGCTTGGGCACGCTCTACGCCTACCAAAAGGCCGTCGCCGAGGGCAAGGCCTTGTATGGCCCAGCCTTCGATCTCACCGAAGAGCTCAAGGCGGGCCGCATCTCGATTGCGCTCTACCATACGGCGGGCAAGGGCACGCGCCTCGCGCCGCTGCCCGGCTCGGAAAATAACAACAAGCCGGGCGTGAAGCTGCCAGCGATGCTCAAGATTGACGACACGTATGTGCCCATGACGATCCTCGAGGCCGTCATCAAGCAAACGGGCGTCTACGCCGCGTCGCGCCGCGGCCGTCTCTCGGTGTTTTGGGGCGACCAGGTCTTTATTCCGAGCGCCGCCGTCCACTACACGCCTGTGCACCACATTGACATTCTTGCGACGCTCGCGCCAATGCCGAGTGCGCAAGAGTGGCACGACAAGGGCCTCGAAAAGTATGGCCTCATCGCCGTCAACGCCGACAACCAAGCCGCGCAGGTCGACAAGGTGAGCCACGCGACCGCGCTGCGTCTCCTCGCCGACTTTGGCCACCTCAAGAGCGTGGGCACGAGCCTTGGCAGCTTCAGCGTCGACCACGACATGCTCGTGGGCCTCCTGGACGAGTTTGCGCAAGAACTCTCGCAGAAGGAAGGCAAGCTGGACACGGACCCGCACTTCTGGATGCCGTTTACGCTGCCGCTCACGGCGTACGTCGAGGTCATGGCGCAGAAGGGCACGTCGGCGGCGTTCTCCCGTCGCCACTATGAGCGCATGCAGTCGATGCTGCAGCGCTTTTACACGTCGCGCCGCGAGAAGCTCGGGCTCTTTGGCTGCATCGATGTCGGCAGCGCGGCCTACTGGTGGGACTATGGCCAGCTCAAGCTGTACCTCAAGAACAACTGCCTCGTGACCGAAAGCACGACCGAGGCCTCGTGCCTCCGCAGCTTCCTCGGTATCCAAGACCCGCTGCAGTGGAGCGATGTCGGGTCGAGTGTCTCGACCGACCATGTCGCCGTGCTCGGCTCCAAGGTCTCGACCGGCCGCATTGTGCGCAGTGTCCTCAGCGGTGTCGCGACGGGAGCCGTCGACGTCGAAGACTCGATCTTGATCAACGTCACGGCGCATTCGATCAAGGCCAAGCGCTGCGTCCTCTACAACGTGACGAGCGAAGACGTCAACGGCCTCGAGCTCGAGGACGGCACGGTGCTCGTCGGCGTCCTGCTGCCCAACGGCGACCGGCTCGTCGTCGAGTCGCACTTGAGTATTTGCGGCGGCGACGCGTGGAAGACGACGCTCGACAAGAACGTGCACTCGTTTGAGCAGATTTACGTGCTCAACGAAGAAGCCGACGTGGCCGAGATTGAAAAGCTCTGCCAAGACGAGCACCTCCGCATCCGCGAGCTCCTGCACCCGACGACAACCAACCCCACCAACGGCAGCACGGCGTATTAGGAACCGACTCCGCCTCGTCATCGCACGAGGATCTCGTATATACATACAGCAGTAGTAATTAGAATATATTCCCGACGATATCCAATAGGGCCTCTTGGCACCATGCAAGCAACGACAAAGCGCTCCGTGACCGGCGTGGCGATTGCGTGACCGGCTTGTCGAGCGCCAAGCGCTTGAAGCAGTGCTCGAGCGACACGACGTCGTAAAAGTGGAGGCCACGAATGCTCTGGACGACGAGCCAGGCCATGCCGGCGCGGACCGTCTCGATCGTGTCCTGCATCAACGGCGCCACCTAGCCACGGGACATGATTTTTTCTCGCAATTTCCAAGCTTTTGTTTTCATGATTATTCTCCACAAGGCGAGAGGCGCATCGCGGCCTGTGGCAAGGGAGCGCGCTGCGTAGCACATCAAATGAGGCGGCCACAAGGGT